AAAAAAAAAAAAAATCACTATTACTACAATATTAGCTCCTTCTCTACCTCAGAGCTTAACTTAGTCATATGCTCAGCACTTACACTTGTTAACTACATTTCTGTTTTCTTCCACTTCTGTGCATCAATTTCTGTTTTCTTCCACTTCTGTGCATCACTCGCCAGTATTAAACCTCCACCTGCCATTATTTAGCTTTATTTATTTTCTCTCCACAAGCATTATGAAAAATTATTAGAAATACAGTTTGACAATATGGCTTTCAATATTTTGCTGCAGAAGATGAAATACCATTTGAAAACAAGTGATCAACATTGCTGCAATAGCTACACCAKGCAAACATCAGCTGCAAACCACATCTGGATCAATTTAAAAGCAACAATTCTCATTCTTCGTTATGGGTCCCCAGAGCATATACGGGCCCACAAGTTCCTATTACATTTCTCTGCTTGGAAGCAAACCTCTGCTTATTTTAAATGCTGTGCTACAGGTACAAGATTCATGCAAAGCCGCGAACTGAGAGGACTCTCCCCCCTTTTCCCTTGTCCTGCTCACTAGAGGGGGCTCCAGCTCTACCTGACACACAAATGCGTTCCCAAAACCAGGAGGAGAAAGGCTGGTATCATTCCCCATTTCCCCCTGCTCCATCCTTTTTACCTTTTTATTGTGGRGTGGATTTCTTCCTTTGGTTGCAGGTGTGTGTGTGAGAATGGCCAAAGGAAAAAGCCAAAAAAAAAGTCACCCACACAGACAGCGCCGTACGCACTGTTACTGAGAAATGACAGAGCATTTTGGGGCCCCTCACAAGTACACTTCTTACAACTAAGGTTTAATCCTCAATGTAATCTTCTCTTGTATGTGAGCACAGAATATGTTTATGACGTGTTTCTAAAGTATAATTAATTCTTGCAACATCCCCATCTTATTGCAGCCTTTATTATTATTGCCAGCCTGGGAACTGTTACAGAAATTAAAAAAAAAATGCCCAAGGCTACTGAGGGAAAGCACCATCATCACTTAAAAGTTCTGAGCTTCTCACAGATCCAGTAAGCCCTACTAATTTCTTTAATAAACAAGGGGGGAAAAGAAAAAAGAGGTCTCATMCAGCAAGAAAGTGTTTACCACCATTTGTCACCCTGGTTGAGCTTGCTTGCAGTCTAGAAACAGCCTCTTGGACCTCCTAAGTTCTGTTTCAAAATAAATAAATAGATAGCTAGCTAGCTAGATAGATAACACAGCACCTTCCCACAAAATGGGAAGATGGATCAAACCACGTACCAGTGGTTATACCCGGAGGCCAGGCTGCCCATGGAAACTCCCTTTTTTTCCAGGCAGGTTGCCCGGAACTGGAGATGCTAAAATGCAGACCACTGCAAATGCACTTCCACTCATGGCTACAGTGCGCACCTCCTGCAAAGAATCTCCAGCCAGGATGCCACCTCTTGCCATAATTTCAGTTATGTACTCGAGTCTCTGCCTCCTTTGGCTTTCAGATGGGGTTGGTGTCTTTTCTCTAGCTCTGTAAGGCAGAGCTGCAGTTCTAGATCTCCCTGTCCTATACTTCTTGCTAAGGCTCATTCTTAAATGTTAGCTGGGAAACTGCAAGAATGCAAGGACTGTGAAAATATTCAAGCTTTTCTAGTAATGGCAATCGAGAACTGCACTTCGACGTATGCAGTGAGGAAAACTCACTGCATGGACTGATCCATCTAAGCCAAGGTGGCTGAAGGTGCTCACTAGYGTGACTGCTGTCACCTCCACGGAAGCAGGGAATCCCTACGAACAAGGCTATGACTTCACAGGCTCTCATGGGCGAGAAACTCAATGCCAAGAGGAACTGCAAACACTGCATAGAGCCACAAAAGATTATCAAAATGTAGCAAAMGAGAGAGAGGCTGACAGGGGTGCTGAAAGCCGCAAGCACTACATGGTGCCACTGCTCTCATGCCAGCAGGGACTGGCTGCACAGGTAGCACCAAGTCACATGCTCCCCGCAGCACTCCTAAGTGCTGGTTATGTTCTACACGTGTACGGATGGGTACCAACACCCTCTTGGTGCCTTGGGTGAGAAAAGCAGCAAGGTTTTTAAAGCTCTGCTGACTAACGGGGCCAAGGTAGGAGTGGAGATGAGTGCAGCAGTTGTACTCATGGCCAGTGCTCATCCAAAGGTGCCTCGAATTCACTCGAATTCACTACGGTGTTTTTAAACAGCCCTCAGCTAATTACCTAATATAGGTATACGATACGAAACAGCTAAATACTGCAATCCGTTTGCAATATGAAATCTAGTTATCAGTACAGCAAGTTGAAGAAAATTCCCRAGAGATCTGGAACAAAGGCAGAGAAAACCTCCTCCATTGTTGGGGACTGTTTGCTCCCCGCCAGCCAGAGCTGAGCAGCAGAACCTGAAGTTTCTGCTGGTAGAATTCACAGTGTCTCTCTGCAATTTGTATTAATGGGGAAAAAAAAAAAAAACACCTAAGTGAGCAATCTAATAACTGCAATTCAGAGCTCTGCAAGCCAAATCAGCCAGTAGTCTGCAAACAAATAATTACAAAAGACTACAATAGTATTGCTTGAGGAGCTGAGGGCAGGAGCACATCTCTCAATGGAATAATTAGGGCCACATGAATTCATCTGCTCTTGTTCAAGTAGACTATTTTTCAAGCTCTACTTTATTCTTCTGAATATGTGCTCAAGGTCCTCCTCGCTTTAACGCTGCAAGCCACGTTTTTCCCCCAAATATTCTACAAACTAAAACTCATGGCTGCCCATGTACCCAATGTAAGTACAGCAGTCCTGGTGTGTGTTAAGGGCACACAACGGCATGCACCACTTCCAGAACTAGCATGCAGCATCTACTTGGATCACAGTTTATTCTGTCTACACAAGCACCAGGGTGTGAAAGGAAGCGATGACTTGGTTGGGGTGCAGACCAGCTCACCTTGCAAGCTCGGTAGAGGTACTTTTTGTCCTGAGTTAGGTTGTAGAGAGATAAGAAGGAATAGCCATTGCCAGCAGTACCGTGGCAGATCCCATATCCTTTTCTCAGTAAGCCCCTCTGCCAGATGACGTCGCTACACTCCATAGCATCTTTCAAGTATTTTTCTTCCTTGAAGGTCTGAGGAATACAAATCAAMAAACAGAAGAGTGCATATAAGTTAAGGACTAAAGAAAAGGAAAGGAAGGTAGACCTAGGTGATGTTTTGCGGTTTGTCATGGGCTTTATCATATAGGTGGATGGGGGTTTTTTGAGTTTTTATAATCCATCCCTTACAGAAATGCCTTTCTTCTCCTGCAGTTKTTTCTTTGTTTTTCTTTTCTTTTCAGAGAAAGGGGAGGGGAAAATGAACTTCCTGATTTTTTTGCTTCTGAAATCAGGGCCCAAAAGAAAAAGTCTCAACTTCAGGACCTTAAGTTACATACCCTACAATCTATTTGAAGGGTGCATGCCCCTCCTCTTTTTTTAATTATTTTTTTTTCCATCTCCATTCCCAAACCATGCTATCATTTGATTTAAGCTATAGAAATCTAATTCTTGTCTCCAAGAAAATGTAATACAGAAGAGCAGCCACCAAATCTGATCCAGAAGGGCTTTGCTCCTGATGTTTCTGGCCAGCGCTAGCAAGTTGCTCACTGCAGCCTTCAATTCCRTGCTGGCAATGCCTCTCTGCATAGCACAGCGCCCTTTCCTCTGCCCAAAGGACACTCTATTACTTGGTTAGTATTTCTACTGCAGATACTTAGAGGTACTAGTCAGTTTGCGCTAAGACCCAACCTTGTAAAATGTACTGCAACTGAAATACATCCTAAAAGCATGAAGAGCCCATCAAGAGAGTAAAATAAAAACAGCAGTTAGCTGAACAGCACCAAACACTTCCACCTTTATAAAACTACTCTCTGATCTCCTTTGCCTGAGTCACTCTACAGACCAATAAGACAAAAAAAGAACAGCAACTGATGCACTGCTGCAGACGTAGCCCTTCAAAGCATCCTCTGCAGTGATGCTCTTCAATGAAATAATACAAGCAACTAACATGCATGATCTTAAATCTACCAGTCTTTTGTAAAGAAAGTCCCTCTCTGAATAGGGCTTGCCTTTTAATTCCAGCTCCTCAGACATATCACTTGGTGTGAAAGGTCCAGCAACTACGTTTGATTTCCAGGACAAACATTGTTTTCTGCTGTCCCAAGTCTCTCTACTGGGAATACACCCAGCAAAACACATTCCAKTTTTTTTTTCCTATCACTTCTTCACAAAGCAGATTCAAGAGAATAATAAAAGCAGCACATGCCTCATCATCTTAAATACAGAAAGAGGACAGAATGGAGACTGCCAGACAGAACTTGGTCCTTTCCCTCTTATCTCCTGCAAAGCATTTTGTGCTGGAGAGAGCATCACACTGGCAAGCAAGATCAAACAAAAGTCTGCAGTGTTAAGCCACCTTCCAAAGAGAAGGCAACTGTTACTGCTGCTGCATTCAGCAGCACTGTAGGATGTTTACAGCTCATATTTCAGGTAGCAGCAAGAATAATTATTTCACAATCCAAATCTGCTTTTCATCAGCCCACCCAGAGGCTGACCAGGAAATCTGCCAAGGAGGGCTTGGCAAAAAGCAGGAATCAATTTACATAAAGGTAATTAAATGGCATATTTTCAAATGTCATGCAAATCAGAAATGCACAACATGAGAGGGAGCACGTCTAGTTCAGGATATAAAGGAGCAAAAAGAAGGCTAGTGCTACCTCAGGGGTTATATTTATTCTCCAGCCATGGCCTGGGATCTTTGTTCTGACATTGGTATTAAATTCTCAAGTACTGGATCTTAATAATGGAGTAATTTATGGACGAGATTATTTAGCAAGAATCTCCAGGATTCTGGTGTCAGGGCATTTAAATACATACTCCTTTTCCGAGAAAACGTGAAGTCTAGCAACTGCTAACACAGTGAGAAATAGTTTTACCCACCGATTTACAAACATATCTATACAAGCATTTTGAGATTTCTAGATGGCTTCCCTAAAGTTCTGGTTTGAAGATTTAGTCTGAGACAAAATGTAAAATGCAGGCTCGCAAATCTAACAGGCCTCTCCATAGGTCTCTGCATAAGAATAGAGGTCTACATATACAGAACCATTCACCTTATAAGCTTGCATGAGCATGTGGATGACTCCAGGGGCACCGTGGCACCAGTGAACCAGTCTGTCCGTTTCATTGCTCAGCGATGACGGGTAGTTCCCTGACCGGAACTTTTTATGTCGCACGTAGTCAATGCTCGGCTTCACCAGCTCCGTCAGGGTCTCCTGATCCACATTTGCAATTGGCTAAAGATAACATTAAAAAAAAAAAAAAAATAGAAGCACATCATCCACCCATTGTGATCTACTTTAAAGTACCCTACATACATGCCCCTGACCCAAAAATCTTTGAATAACTTTACACAAGATGAGATTACCGTCTGTTCACAATACCCATGTGAAAATGTTGTTACAGCTCCTGGAGAAATAAAGAAATTGGGGTCATAAGTTGTTAGTTGGTTTYCTTTATGTGACACAGAAAGACTGTGGAAGAACCGAGAAGAGAACACAGCTTCCAAGACTCCCAGGCCTCTATTTACACCTTAAAATAGAGAGAGCACTTAGAGGAGGAAGGTGGTTTTATAGCTTAGTTGGTTATACTAGATACTTAAAAGACATTGGGTTACACATTTTGTTTTAAAAATAACTAGCACAGACAAACCTGTCATATTTCCCAATAAATGCGGGAGAGTATAGAGCCATATCTGGTAAAAGGCTTACACAGGATAAAGTTTTCCATCATAAACAAAACTCCCTGAAGCTATGGACTGTAAAACAGTAATTTCAATAAATGAATATAAATGTTCAACTGTGAATAGAGCAGACAGATCGTAGACAATCACAACTCGATTTTGTAAAAACATTTATGTTCTGAAATTGCCATTTCATATTTTCAGAAGCAACAGCTACCTCTTAAGGTACTAATAACTTTTGTGAATCTCTCCGTTAGAGTGCTCTTCTGAATTTTCTTCATTACTTTTGTCTACTTAACATTCTTGTCAAAAAACACATCCACTGACCTGCAAACTCCTGTAGCTAAAAGTTTCAAGTTGACTATTTACTGGGATCCTCTACTGGTCTATTGGGGCCATCTTCTGAAGTTGTTCTTAATTGGTACTCATTCCTCTATCAACCCATTTCACGGTATTTTCATAATAGAATTATTTATTTTTATCCCAGCTGACATGATTTTTGAAATTCCTGCAAGCTGTGGGAACAACTGCAGAAACTGGAGCCTAGAGTAACTGACAACAGTGTTTAGCTTCTTAATGAGTTCTCTCTGTGGTAGACTCAGCTTCACAGAATCTTACTCTTTTCCACCAACTGCAGKATATTTGCATTCAATAGGTGAGCACTCTGCTACAGTTCACACTCCTACAGCCAAATAAAGAACAACTTTAAATAGCTGCGTTTTTAGTAACTCAAAATAACCATAAGCCTTTTCCTCACCTCRGCCAAGGGAGCTTTTCTGACCTCCYACTTTCCAGTATCCTGGTACTGGTAAGCACAAAGCCCACCTATATACTTCCATGAGTGGAACAGGAACCTTCATTCCTCAGAAAACAGATKACTTTTTCATGAGAAACATCCCAGAGCTGATCACTTCTCTCAAATACCAGCCTGTGAGACACAGCAGCCTCTCAGACGAATCCCTGCTTGGGGGGTTTTGATGCTACACTGGACCCTCCGGCAGAACGCAAGGCAGACAGGCAGCAGCAACAAATGCCACTCAGCCTTGAGTTGTACCAGGCAAGCACAGCTTAGCAGACAGATRAACTGGTGCCTATCCTTTTGAGGTAGACACAAGGCAGTATGTGTATCCTCACTAAAGTGCTATACAGCAACAGCGGTCAGTGAGCGGCATTCACATCCCCAGTGCTATGTGGGATGCCCATTTTTATTTATCACAAAAAAAGTCCCAACCAATCCATCTCCTGACATTTTTGCTGAAAAAYAGAAAATTCTCATACAGGGAAGGAGGGATGGGAAAAAGGATGGACTCTTACATGCCACTTTCCTCTGCAGTAGATGACTCAACTCAGCATGACTCACAGTATTTAATGTACGGTGAAAAGACAGTAATCTAATGCTGCATAAACAATGACTGTGGTAATTCTTAAAAGCTGCACTTATTTTTAAAGAAAAAGATTGTTTTCATTTTAATGTATATAGACAGAGTAGCTTCCGCTTAAAGCAAAAGCACTGCATAATTATTTCYGTTATCAATCTTGAAGAGAAAATAAAGGATGGCGCCTTTAATGGGGCTTCTTTGGAGGGCCAGCTATTTCTTAGAAACTCAAGGAAAGCCAGTGAATGGAAAATGGAGCAGGAAAGCTGAAGTAGCTGGAAGGGARGAGACCACTTAGCTGAGGAAAGTGGGAACTAAAGATAAGAACACATAAATCAGAACAGTCACAGACCTAGATTCACAGACCTAGATCCCAGGGAGCTGAGCAGGAGCCCAGGGAGCCCGAGCTACTGCTGGAAGCGCTTTGAGCTAAGCTGAAGCGGATGGGGAGCAAACACAGTGTCTTTTACAAGCGAGGAATGGCTGAGCAGTGGCAACACCTAATATCACCTCAGTCACCTCTGTAGTGAGTACTTGTACATAGCTTTAGGCTGTGAAGATATACATTCCTTCCATCTGCCTGAATAAAAGTCATTCTGCGTTAGCTTGTATGAAAATTAACATTCACAGAGATGCACCAACTGTCAGCACATTTCAAGATCAGAGGAAGGTACAATACAAACTTTGGAACTCTTTTGGCTATCATTTTTAATGAATCTCAAGACTCTATTTCCAGGAGAAAAAAAAAATAAACAGGTCTATTGGTGTACAGAAGAAAAATCTCATTTAAGACAAAAGAAAGAGCAGAGCAGGAGTCATACTCCATATGTRCTCTAATCATGTAAACAGAAAGCCCTGTTAAAATACCTGAATAATCTGCAGAGAATCATGTCCCTTAGCTGAAAGACAGCTGTATGAGCCTTGCTGCTTAGCTGGGAGGCCTCATTCACCCTTGGGCCGTGCAACATGAGTCACAGCTTTACTCTGCTACTAGAGCTAGTGCAGTTCTGTGTCCAACTCCAAACTGTGGGAGCCTCAGCTAGCACACCATTACACTGCACACGTCCAAAAGCTGAAGAGATGTGACAGTGATGCTTCACCCCAGCCCACAGAGGTGTCTTACCTGCATGAGCATGTAGTAGATGCCAGCCACGCCGTGGGCCGCCCCAACGTATTGCTTCCTGTGCCACTGGTACAACAGAGGGCAGCGGTCTGTTTTACGCTCCTCTTTGGAAAAGTTCTTCCCTGACTCAATGATGGAGTCTATTACCTAAGAGAAAGATCACACTCCTTCTTTCTATCTCACTTACTTTTGTTTGGGGGATTTTGAGTTATCGTGACCAAAACTACACTAAAAAGTAAGCCACAATAAACCACGACAACAATAGGATATCCAAGTCATTCGAACATCATTTGACACAAACGAAGTCACTTGAGACTTCAGTGTTGAGACAGAAATGGACTTTTCCTAAAAACTTAAAAAAATCACTTAGATTTGCAAGAATAGATGTTGAATTGTAAATATTTCCAACCACTTTTTTTCCAGACCTGCCCCCTCTAGTTTTAGTACCTATCTTCCCCACAATGTATTCCCTTTCCTTCCATTTGAACACTTTTGCAATTCTTCCATAGCATTTGACATAACAATTCCACATCTCTCTCTTCTCTGGGCTTCCTCCCCTAATCCCTTATTTCATGAGAAGGAACGATTCCAGGTCAGTCTCACTAATGCTATGGTACGAGAGAGATAAAAGCATCCTTACCTCGTTGATAGCAGATTGAGGGACAGTGTCAGGACCAATTTCTGTATTCAGATAGAGCAAGGCATAGAGGTAACCCGCTCTGCCATAAAGCAGCTCATCTGGCAGTTCAGCATCAGTGCTTATCACTGTCCTCTGGAGCTGCAACAGCCTGTATGAGACAAGGGAGGTAGACAGAAAGAGCAAAGAGGACTTTCCTTTGCGGTCAGATTGGACTGTGTATTGCACGTGTCACCAATCTCACCATAAATAGAAATCGTTCTGAATTAAAAGCAAACCTTTGTACGATTCTTGCCTCAGCAAGCTTCTGTTGGAATARATTTTCTAATTTCTAACTTATACCCAAGACACCAATCGCTGAGTACATCAAACTCCGTTTCGTGTTTCCCAGAAATTCCCAGCACCTCAACAAAGACAGATCAGCACAGCAATTCCCACACCCATCCCTAAAGCCCTGCAATCAGCCTCAGCCCAGCTGGCCTGCCCAGGCACACGCAGCAGCTCTCAGGCAACCCAGACAGAGGCAGTTCTGACCTASAGCTAACACTGCACCATGGGCACAGGCAGAGAATTTTCCTGCAATCCTCTCCTTGTCTCTTCCCATCTTTTCAGARGCAATATCCAATTAGATGAAACCATGGAGATGATCATGGTTTAAATTGGGGGGAGGAGGAAGATGATCTGGATTAAGACCAAATTCAATTTCCAAATCTCCCCAAACAACCATTACTTGGCAGAAATGCTACCATTAACCAGTGCTGGAACAAACACGCTGACTCAGATGGCTCATTTGCCCAGTCACTGCTTAGTATCAGAGAACAGTTACTCACAAAAGAGCAAGCTGTGTGTTATTAATCCTTCCTTGGAATTAGTCTGTGGACTTGGAATTATTTTATTTTAAAAAAGCTATAATTAACTTCTAATACTCAGATTTTTAATTCAGATCACACAAAACTGGACAAGGCACAAAGCTAAAAGTGTCATTACAGACTGCATTTTGACATCTGCAATATCCCACACAGTTGGTATCATGAACAGGTTTGTAAACAGAAACAGAACARCAGCAGCAGCAGCAGCAACAACAAAAAAACATAATTTACAGTCCTCTTCCTAGAAATGACTTTCTAGGAGGCTAGGAAGCAGAGGTTAGACTGTAAGATTTATTGCTCCTAATCTGATTTTGCTACACTTCTGATTCATGCCTTCAAGCAACACTGCCTTCCCAACTGCATTCAAAATGACACACTCAAAAAACCCAACATACCATACCACCCTTTTCAAAATGGAAATATTCAGAGATGGCAATAGAGATTGATCTCAGTAGGATTCTGGATTAGAAAGAGACTGATTACATTGCCAAATATAAACCAGAACGGAGATGCTGATATGAGGCTAACGTGCAAATTCCAGCAATGCAAGGTATGTTGCTGGACTGCTCAAAGTGGGTTACTGGTGCTGTATTCAAACTGCACAGGGCTCCCACGTGCATCCAGCCTCGACTGGACAGCAGACAGCTCCGTATCTGCAAAAGGACAGTCACTTCTCCAAGGAGGCTCAAAATCTAAATTGAATTATTTTTAAGATGACTCTTACATGTAGAATACTTAGGAGTAAGATCTTTTTCAGGTTAGCCTTCACATTCTGTAATCTAATTAGAGCCCTCACCTTTGACAGCCAGCAAGTATCTCCTGTTTTACTAAAGTTTTGTCAAAATGAAACACTGTGGCACACTGGAGTGTTTCAAGATCCCTGCCACACACGTTACTCACTATAGTGCACCCCATAACTGAGACCCAGCCTTCCCAGTCAGCATCACACACGCACGTTACACGCTGCTGATGACAAGCATGCTGCTTTACAAGAACGGCACGGTTTCCCTTCCACTCTGTGAGCCACTTACTTGGCGATACATTCTTTAGATTCATTGTCAATTTTCAGCTTGTGATAAACCACTGCACCCACTGCCAAGGGACCGGCATCGCCACAGAGAAAAGTGACTCTTCTGCCATTCAGATTGCGAAGGATTCTCTTTACATAATCAAGAGCTCGCTGCAAGTGGCTCTGGTTTTTCGTGACACGGTACAGCTGCAGATATAAAAGGGCAATGCCTGGAACAATCATATAAAAAGAGAAAGATTCATTTACTTTTCTCTCCGAATACATCATGTTTTCATCTTTATAGCCTGTGAAGCAGCAACTCAAATGCGAGCAAGTATTTGGCAAATTTAAAGACACTAATTAAAGGCCCCAATTGCACATTTATGCAATATGACAGCACCAGGTCTTCTATCTTGATCTCATTTAAATTCGCATTATGACAAAAATCTGACATTATCAGACAAACCCAGTTTAGACTCACAACATGCAGAGAATGAGGAAAACTCATGACACAGGCACTGAAGTCCAATGCAGAAATCACTGAAGACTCAAAAACTTAAGACTGTTTATGGCCATGTACATCCAAAACCATCCTGTTTATGGCCATGTACAACAACTATACAGTATTCATTCATTACATTACGTTTTTCTTCTTCTCTGCTTAAATTTTAAGACTCTCTTTTGATGAGTTTTTGGATTCAGCTTGCCAAATTCTTTTTAATCCTAAAATGGATTTCTTAAGAAGATTATGAATTTCTGCACGTTAAGCTAGTTTGTAAAAGCCAGAAAGCAAGCAAGARCTCTTGGAGAATGCCAGAAGGTTAAATCAAGCTTCATTCCATTAAATTCATTACATAGCTTTCACTCAAAACAAGAAACAAAATCTAGGAAYTGCAGTAACATAGATTTCCAACGTTTGTTTCCAAACAAACCCTGGTGCTGACATATCATGTTTTCGGCACCAGCCATTAACAGGCTTTTCCGAATGGTGCCAAAAGGAGAGTTGCAGAGCTCGCTTGGGTCAGTTCAATAGCACAGGAACTTGTGAGCTACTGCCCTGGTCCACAGGCCCTCAAAGCAACGACACGAAAACAAGCCTGGCTGGGATTTCCAAACTCTTTTGTAAATTCCAATAAAGTTGTAAATATTCAGGTTTGATCAAGGGGTGGCTGGAAAGCAGCCGTGACACCCCGTTTTCCCTGCATGTCCTTCTGCAACACTTTTCAGGTGGCTCCTCCAAGGCATCTGGCATGTCTAAATATGTATAAGCAGGATAGAATGTAAAAAGAGTTTTGTCTTTGTTACACACCAAGTCCATGCTGCAAATTTTTAAAAAGGTTCCACAGAGTACGGGTCAATGGTCATGCCTGCTCACTGCTGATAAAATTTGTCTAAGACTTGCTACATGAAAAGTGGGACAGCCATTTTCATCCCTGTTTCTACCTTCTGATTTGCATATTCTAGCAAACGTTGCAATGAATGAGKTTGGAGAAAATATTTCCCCCACATATTTAAAAAGCCATGTTTTTATTTATTTTATTAAAAAGCCATGTATTTCCATTCAGAGACAATTCCACAGAACCTTAAGAAGAAAGGATAAGATGTGAAACAGATGGAGCTGACAATCCTTCTATAGGATGGAAAAACCCTGTTCTCATTAGACAATGGTACTTGCTCATCTGTCTTCTTGCTCCAGCTAGCAAGGGTTGTGTTACTTTTAGCATATGACTCATTTTTAGCATGCTCCGATTTATCAGCCATAACTTCAGTTGTCAGTCACCAAGAAAACTGTTCACAGGGAGCTGTTCTATAACGTCAGTGTGAAAATGCCCATTGCTTGAGATCCTCCGCATCCACTTAGCAACCACTCATTTTCAGACCTCAAAATGCATCTATCATTTAAATCTGAGTTGTGTAAAACTTTCCTACCCATCCACCCACAGCACCATCTGTATCAAAATATCAAGAAAGGAAAGAAATTTTACATTTCCATAGCCAGAGTTATGCCCAAGCATGGGCAAGGCCTGGAGATTTTTTCCTAGCTGCTCCCCAACACAACACAAAGGTGTTCCAAACACAGAAACCATTTATCTCCCTATAACTAAATCCTGTATCTACTGAAGTCAATGAAAATCATTACAGACACTAGKGATCAAGCATTCGGAGTGAAAAGAAACCAACTCCTACAAATGACTATGTTATCAGAGTACTTATGCAAATCCTGGGAGAATATTAGAAGCTCCTCCTGTGAACCAACCCCAATGGTCACCAAAACACCATTTAGCAAACACACATAGTGCAAATTTCAGCTTTCTCACCAGTCCAGCCAGTATAGGCGGAGCAGTCATGTGGATCTGCTGTCTTTAGTCCCTCCTCCATTTGCTGCAAAAGGTCCTTGATTTTTGTCTGGATCCGTTTTGTGAACTGAGAGCTGACCTGAAAACACAACAGAGGACAGAATCAGAGAATGGATAAATTCGAGAATGCAAGCCAACTGTTCCACTGTTTTGTTTGAAAACAAACAAACAAAATCCAAAACACATGAGGGAATGGATACTATATCCAGCAAACTGGCAATGCCTAGGTGGCACATCACAAGTATGCCTGGTTTAATACAATCTGGTTCCATACTGGACTAAGTTATTAATATATACATGGCCTKAAGTCATATGAAGTCCAGACACAGAGACAGTATGCAGTTGTTATGTACTGGTTTGCACATTTCAGGCTTTTAATGTAGTAAGCCAATAAAAGGAAAAAGCCTGATGTGCTCCTGCTGCCCCTCCATGGGCCAATACCCTGTTCAGGGCCTCGCACCAGCATCGTGCTTTGTGCGAGCGCAGCTCACTGAACCTACAAACCCTGTGTAATGCTGCCTGCTCTCAAGTCTCTAAACACCTGCAAAACATCTTTCACTCCCTGCTCCTTCCTCTGCCCCAAATCCTATCAGTACAATCATGCCTGAGAGAGGAGGTTGTGAAATGCAGTATCAGCGAACGGCTGTGTGCCAACCAGCCAAACCAATGAGCTACATGCAAAGATGGCGAATAATGGGAGTTTGGCAGTTTCCACTAATGCATTTGCCCTTCAGCACCAAGTTGAACAAATCTTCGATGATATTCATTTCTTGTTTCTATTTTTGACCAAAAAGTTTACAAAGATGAAGTAGACAAATACAATTCAGGATTTTTTTTTGACCAACATTTCTCTCTCATTAGGAGTAGTATTTACCAAAACACCTTACTGATTATTCCCGCAAGACTGTGAAAATAGTCAATTAACTAAAATTTATTGTCTTAGTAACTTCCATAGCAAAGGTCATGTATGAAGCCATTCACAGAACCAGTTTTACATTTTCAATGGGAACTTCAGATACAACATTCAAAAATGCTCTCTGAAGAGTACCAATTACTAATCAGCCTTGCTCATAAACATGCATRTGTATCAGTTTCTAATAGGTAAGTAAAGCCTGAGGTTAGCTTGTATASTAAGGTACTCACAATGGAGCTAGAGAAGAACAATTTCTCCTTTCCCTTCATAGGCTATTGAAAAAGCTTTATCATTACCAGATAACTGCATCACTATAACAAGAGACGTACTCAAACTTTATGCCACCCAAGTATTTCCTGGATGTGCTTTTTCCATCGTTACAGAAATCCCCAAGTATACGGCATTTGTCATCCATGTCTTAGTTATCTAAGAAGAGTTAAAAGAGAAATGTTGCAGGAACTTGACACCCAGCAGAGTTTTCTCACTTTCCAAAGGCAAGGGTCACAATGTGATGGCCACCATCCAGAAAACTGGCACTATGCAATCTGGCTGCTTGTCAGCTTACACTCAGAAAAAGCTATACATTTTTGAACAGTGCTTCATCTCTTTATTCTACTATTTGCTTCCCCGATCTGCTCTCAAATGACTGCTGGAACAAAGCGGACTGGTGAAAGCATAGTTTGATATTAAAAACACCTATATTTATGGTTCTCTACCAGGAAAGGAGAAATTAACTGATCAGAAAGGCAAGTTCCTGCTTGATTAAAACATATACCAAAAAGGAGAGGGTTTCAGCTAAAAGACAAGTCCTGAATGCCACTGTACAACTGATGTTCAAAATACATCACATTTTGTACTCCTCTTCAGAGTGTCATTTCAATAATAATTGGTGAATTCAAACGTCCACTCTAGAGGTCTCAGAAAGGTAACAAGAATTATACAAGTCCTCCGAGACACTCAGAGGATTCCAGGGTCAAAAGCTTAAATCCATTTTATAACTCAGGAGGAGAGAGAAGTCCTATCATTATTTCATGTCACACACCTACCACTAATCTCTCCTAGGAATGTGCTGTAACACCAGCTCACCTTGGCCTTCAACAGCTAGAAGTAGCAAGCAAACACCGCAAGYATCTCACATCTACTCTTTGATCTTAGCATAGTATCATTTAAACACAAAACCATCATGCATATTGGTCTTTTTAAAAAGTTTAATCGAGTCTTAACACAAAGGTAAACCTCTCCTGAGGGCAGGGCTCCCCTCCTCCAAATGCCAGTTAAGCCAAAGTCGAGGCATACGGCAATACAGCAGGAGGAAATCAGCCCTGCTGCACTTGGGCTCCATTGCCAGACCAAAGGAGCAAGCAAAGGCTTTACACTAGCAGACTATTTGCTTATTGCACATGGCAAGCCCACCAGTTAGCTTCTTGTTCTGACAACACACCTGCTGTTACCAAATCAGGATACCTTTTAGCAAATACAGATCAAGTTATTTAGAGGATGGAGAGAAGAACTAGGACATCCAGACACCCGGGTTCTGCCTTGGAACCTCAGTCCCTTAGAAACAGAGGCAAAGTTCCTCCCAAATACCTACTTCTCCTTCACTGCTTCCTTTCTTTGGGTTGTTCTGAAGYGTTAACGACACAGTGGTGTCACAGTTATTTTGGCAAGATTCCGCTATAAGCTTATAACAAATATTTACATGCACCAGGAATTAATTAAATGAAGAAATGAATGTTGAAAGGTGGGTTTATAAAATGCATAAGCCTCCTTCAAGAAATCTTACAGTACCATTACAGCTGAGCATAAAGCACCCTAATTTGTGTCAAGTGCAGATTGATTTTCATGAGAAGCATATTCATTTCATGACGATGATTCCAGCTGGCATCCAGCCTTCTATGCAGGTGATTCTTATTATTGCCAGTCCTGTCAGGAAACAGCAAAAGCCAAGAGGCCTGAATCTCTGTTCTCTGGTAACACATTTACTCCTGGTTCACAACAAACTGGGTCATAAAAGTGGATGGAGAATATCTTTTCAGAAGCAGGAATGGCTCTCTCATACAATCAAATGCTGCCTTACTCCTGTGCTGCTGGGGAAAAAAAACCAACAAACTCTGCCATCACAATCACCACTCAGTTTTAGGTCAGCAAAGCACAAAACCGGAAACTAATCCCAGAGACAGCCAATGCTTCAAGAAAGCCCAGCCAGCAAAACCTCCTGTCATGTCACTGATCACTGTAAGAAAGGCTCATTATCAGCATAAAACAGAAGCAGTGCAGAAAAATATGACTGTGTTGTGTTTGCAAATTACATGTTTTGTGACTTATTCAAATTGCAACATTTTTATTTTTTCAACTGCAGTGAGCTAGCATGCGCACTGGACAAACCTCTGTCACCCTCCAAGGTCTTTTAAAGGCAATGAAATTATAAGCAATGACATTATAAAGAATATGAGCGTATATCATACCATTTATCTTCGGCACCAATGACAAGATGTCCAGATTAGGTATTGCTAACAAGGACAACATTTTCCCTATCTGCTTTCTCTCATTTGCAGACCTCCTAGAAGGACAATTTTTTTTAAAGAAAAAAAAAATCAGCACTAAACCAATCTCCTGAAAGAAATGCATATTTCACTTTCAGTTGATGTTACTATAAACTATCAGTATTAACTGAACTGCTTCTCCTACCCAGCTTTAAAGTTCTGATTTTACAACAAACCAGCACCAGCAGCAAGGTAGGCCACAAGCAGCTATATATATATATCACGATTTTAGGCAAAAATTTGAGAAAAGTCTTTACTTGAAAACTCAGAGATGCACATTGAGTCCARATATCACACCAGTTACCTAAGTCTAAAAAAGCAACTGAAACACTTCATGGCATTTCTGTTTCTGTTGTGCTTGGAAGTAATCACTTGTTTGACACACAAATAATAAGCTATTTCCTTTGTTTATTCCAGACATACTTATAAAACAATATGTTTTTCAAAAATACTCGTGATTTATTTGCATCCAAACACTTCTCTGGTAAGTAGCTTGCACAGACTCATGGCAAGAGAATGGACACCTTCATTCAAATTCTTTAACAGCTGCCAAATTATCAGTCCTTTTTATTATCAGCTCCAAAAGCAACAGCAGTTTTTCAATTAATACTATTTTACCATTATGCTTTTCTATTTTATCTCCTTAGCTGTTCTAGGAGTGATGCTATGTGCAAAGCTAAACTGAATGAGGAAGTAATTGATTATACAGAAGCAGCAAGCAGATGATCTACATAACACTACCTATAAAACAAGGAAAATAGATTTTTATTTTATCTTAGCTCCAATCAGGTTAAGAAGAGAGATTTTCAGAGAGAAGTGACTTTAATGTTGGTGACGTGCAGAATATGTAAGAGGCTTGCTTTCTGTTTTCCTGATGGTTTTCTTCCATGGTTTTGTGACATGTTCTCTGTATTTCAGAAAGAAGAAAATAAAGCTACAGTTAGCACTTTACTAAGGAAAAAAAAATCCAATTTAAATAGAAGATTAGGAAAGGAAAACAACAGATATTGGTAAGGGAAAACAGAGAGGAAAAAAAACCCATAGCTCTACTGAAACATGAAATCCCATCCTTGCTGAAATCAATGGGAAGTTTGCCACTGACTCTAGGGGAGCCAAGGTTTCACACACTAGGCTCTGGAGCATAGATTTATTGAAGTAGGACGAAATTCCTCTCCACACAGCAAGAGCAGATGGGAAGGAACAACAACAGGATTCCAAATGTAGAATCCAACAAGAAGAGTGAATAAGTGATCCACCTTTTTATACAGCAAAACAAGCAATACTTTGTTCCTTCCCAAATCAAAAGACTGTTACAGCCCTGAAAGCAGTTTTTGCCTTTTTTTTTTTTTTTTTTAAGAATACCAGATAATAAGAATTATCATCACTAAGCCACTTAACCAGCTGATGACAGGCATCTGCTTCTACTTGATCAGCCCCTTCCAGAAATCAATGCCAGTTCAGTAAGATCACATACTTTATAAACAACTTGAAATCATGAGGAAAAGGCTTTAAGCGCCATATTACCCTATCTTCGATGAGAAGAGAGTGTGCAAAAATATAGCTAGAAAAAATAGCTAAGAAAGGACAGATGTAAGTACCTGAACTTGTTGCAGAAAGAAGTGT